AGTCATGATACTTAGAAAGACAGGACTAAGAACAAACTCCTCATCAAAATGAACTGAATAGAATAGCATAAAATGTTAATCCTGTGCTAGTCAGTTTGTCATTACTGTGACAAAGTGCATGAGAAAACTCAACCTACAGGAGAAAAGACTTATTTGACTCAATTTTTGAAACTTTATTCTTAGTGACTTGGCTCCATTGTTTCTCAGTCATAGGTAGGTAGAGGGGGATGTGCGTTGGAACAAAACTCCTTCCATTTCATATGTCAGGATTTAGAAGTGGTATATAACCTACTTCTTCCAAATAGGCCTAACATCCTAAAATTGACATCATCTTATGGGAAGGCCATCTGGTTATGAATCCATCAATGGGTTAATATCAGTGATATCTGAACTTTCATTACTTAGGTTTGCTAGAAGCCCACACCTTAACACAAACATTACTTCATTAGGGACCAAGGCTCTAACACATGAGTCTTCATGTAGCATTTCTAATCTAAATCTGTAGCCATAATGAATCCCAAGATGTTTTCGATCCAGAGAAAGATAATGAAGTTAGCCCAACTTCAGGGATGAGGAAGTCAGCTTTACTGATGGGAAGAACTGTCAAAAATGAACATTATAACCGTGATCCCAGTCATTAGAAAATAACCACAATAATTTATCTTTTCCTCAGGAAAAGAAAGGCTGACCACACAGCAGTGTTGTGCTTCCTTCTCGGTTTGGGGTTTTTTGATGGGTTTAGAGGAGTGGGTTATGATTGCTCTTGTTTTGTTTGAGTTCTGTTTTTTTTCCTACTTTTGCTTTTTTCTGTTTACAAGTTCAATTGCATATACATAATAGTCTTTTCATTGGTTTCTGAATGTTAATTTGTATCTATTCAGACTCCTAAATCCTCTTCTTAAATCAGCACACGTTTTTAAAGCATGTGGTCATATCATTAAAGAGTAGTTAATTATGCAATACTTTTGCTTCCCAACTTTTATGTCCTGAAAGTATCCCTCTCCTCTAGTCCAATGTGTAAGCTATACTTTTCAAAATATAATGAAATAATATTGATGTCAGTAAGCAATTTGTCTTCTTGGTGACGTTAATAAAAATATTCTAATGATTCTCAATTAAGAATTCACCAGTTTTGAGATAAGTAGTATATATTTTATTAGTGTAAAATCTCTAAAAGTCTCCATGCCAAATAATCTAAAACTTATAAAGGAGTAGGGCTATAATGTGATTTAGAGTGATTCATAGACAGAAATTCATGAATAAAAATAAACTGTGAGAAATCTGCTCGTTGAAATCAACCACAAGGAATAACCTCAACTGTACAAGCTATATACAAAGACATCTAGAACTGGGAAAATGACAGCAAGTCACCCTAGCACCTGGAGCCAAAGGCAGAAGCTAGAGACGCCACAAGAAAGATGACATAATTATTAAGAATTTTATTTAAAAATACCTAAAGACATTATTTAAAAATAACCAAATGTGCATAATATACAAAAGACATACACTTTTAAAGTGTGATTAAGAAAATAAAAGCCAAAAGAATAGAAAATTAAAGTCTGAATAATACTTATCTTTAAACTAGTACAACTATGACAATCTTTTCTGTGTTTTTCCAGCTTAGTCTAATGACTGAAAATAGATAGTGGATCTCATTAAATAGCAGAGAACTTTATATCAGTGAGATAGTAAAGCACATTTATCATTCATTAAATTCATAGCCCATTTCAGATCTGAGCAAAAGTGATACTTGAGCCAAAGTGGAGCACACTGTGACTTGGTCAATTAATTCAGTAAATGAGCTGGGCTGGTGTTTTTAAGTAGTCATCAGAAGGCATGCTAGGAACAGTTTCACTGGAGAGACTTTCTTATGTTCATTTGGAGAACAACCTTAAAGAAGACATACGTTGTGTTTTGTTTCAGTGTACAGACATATTCTGGGCAAGTGTTCTACCACTGGGAAACCAGGTAGCCCCAAAGAGTCATTATTTTACCCCAGAATATTTTACTCCAAAATAGTTGTTCCACTGAGGACTCCTTATTGTGTTTGTGTGGTTGCTTTTTGTTGTTTGGGGTAAATAATTGTCAAGTTCTATCTGCTGCCCCAAACACATGACCTCACTTAATTCTGCTTCATGTTCCTCTTTCCATCCATCCACTTGATAGGTGGCTGATGTGAGTACCTTATTCTGCTCTTCTCTTTAGTCATGTTTATCTTCGAGAAGTAGTTCATCACAATAACAGAAGTGGTGATTTAGCACCTTTGAGAGGTGATTTATTGTAGTGATGGAAATGGTGACTTAGGAAAGGTTTGTCTCAACATTTATCTGTACATAGTTCTTCAAGCCATGGGCTACCCACCATGGGATAGCTTGAAGTCCAGATAAAGGAAGCTGCATGATGTTTTAGTCAATTATTACCTCTTACATTGTATTTGAGTAGACTTCTTTTTTCTTTTGTATGCTCTGGGTTCCATTTAATTGATAACAGTTTGCACCTGTACAATGAAAATTCTTCCATTTAAAGATGAGTGAAAAAAATAATTACTTAATCAAAGCAGGCTGTTCGATGGTCTGTCACCCTTCACTTTTGTGTCTATCATTCTTTTTTTTGTACCAGAATCTTCAAAGATTTTTTTCTTCAGTAAAAGCCTCTCTCTAGTTCCTCTGGCCCAATTCATTTTCAGAAGGCTTTCGATATTGGCAGCTTTCCTTTCATTATCTTTCAACTGAATACTTCCGTAAATTAGTTGGTACTTTTATATTAACAACCTGACAGCTCTTTCATTATGTAATACTTTGATGACAGGAATATAAATTTGATTAGATGCTAATGAACAATTCAGTACCATTGGTGCATATCCAAATCTTCTTCTATACAGGAATATCATTCAAAGGTAACCATGACATTGTGGATATGACTGATTTGGGGAGGAACATTCAGTTATAGAGCCCAACAACTTTAGGACACTTGATAGGTATTAGTATTTAATGAAAACACAGGACATTTGTATATAATTTATATTGTATTTTTACACTCGTAATTCACTCTGTTTTTCATACAGTCCTGATAATGAAGTGCTATTGTTACAATATATACAAACTAAGAACTTCAGGTTAACAGAGGTTGAACAGCTGTTTTCCCTCATCATTTAAAACTGGCAGTGCAGACATTTCCCAAAGTCTTATCAACTTAGATAGGCAGTAACACCTGCTTCCAAGAAGTAAATTAATTTTAAACTTTAATAACAATGTGATCGTACCACTGTGTCTATAGAAAGCAAAGATAGTACTAAGTCTGTCATTAATATGTTTGTATTCTTTCCTCTATACAACCCTGTACATGTGTTGTGTTTGCCTAATTGAAATAAAATTGTACACATATAACATGATCCATCTGTTTCTCTTCCAATAGTGTGTGTACTTTGCAAGCATCATTTTAAACGTCTTAGTGATTAGACCTCCCAGTTCATTAACGCATCTATTTACCATTAACCTCTCATCAGGAGTGTGAGTGAGTGTGTGTGAGTGTGTGCACGTGTGTGTGTGTGCACGTGTGTGTGTGTGTGTGTGTGTGTATTTGTAGAGTGATGTTGGCACATGAGGTGCTACAGGATTTCACTTGTTTTCCTGGGTGAATTTTCAACTGTGGATGGAAAAAAGTATCTTTTTAGGTTACCTTGGAAAATAGCCTTCAAGAATTGCATCATTTATATCCCCACAAGCATTATGTGAGAGAATACTCTTGTGACAAGTAACTTATTCACATTTTTCTGAACATAGCAAGTTTACAGTTTTATTTAATTTTATTCATTCTCTGGCAATTGCGTATCCATCATCGTCATTATATACATCTCTGTGACCAGTTCTTATCACTCTCTCACTTCCACTGAACCACTTGACCTTTCCCATAAGTCTCCTCCCATTTTGCTGTCCTGTCTGTCTGTGTGAGCCACTGAGTTTTCATGATCACAGTTGGAGGGTTATTTTCTGGAGCACAGCAGCTAGCCACAACACTGAAGGAAATGGCTCCCTCTCTCCCTGTAACCATTAACTGCCAATGTCCACACAGGGAGGGGTGAGCCTCTCAAGTGCCTCTCTCTCTGTGATGGAAAGGTGATGAGCCTGATCTCATGCAAATTTTATGAAGTGAACCACATAGCATCATCACATCTCTGTGATTGATAAAGGCCAACTGCCCTGTCATGTCCTGGAGACAACATTTAAACTGAACTGTTATTTCTTTGTGAAACATTTTTCTATATTTTTAGCTATTTAGCCCCTTTGAATTTCCACTTTTATACATTATTTGTAGATTATTAATTTGTGAATTTACTTGTGCTAATCTAATCATGCAATTTATATAGTGTGCCTTATATTATATATTAAATATTTCAATACTTTGTGTAAATATGTGTTGCCAATAATCTCTGAATGTCAGGATGCTTAAAGAAATTGGCCTTTTAATTCAGACCAGCATATTTTTGAAACATTCAGTTATATGAACTACCATCATTGTCCATGTAATTTCTTTTCATTGTCTTCAAAAGTGCAAGAAATCTTAAAGAGGGGTATTTTTCTAGTCCTCTGTAATTTTTTAAAGCTGTCATTCAATTCATTGTTTTCAGAATTCCACTGAAAACATCCTAATGAGTCATGTATATAAAAATTTCTGATTATCCCATTAATAACGATACTGACTTTCAGACTGTCTCAGTGTGGTTTATGAGTCACCTCTCTTTAATTTGTGGTATGTCCTTAACCATATAACAATCCTTTGCATTAAAGAGTTTCTGTTCTATTTATTTAGACATTTTTAGTTTAGACATACTTTATCAATTATTTTATTATAATATTATGAGTTAACACTTCAGAAATTTATTCCCAGAATAATACTTTTATTGTCAAAAGTTCTTAAACTTTTAGGGATTGTCTATTCAAAATTAGTATTGGAATTTCTAAAAAATAAGTAATTTGCAGATAGCATGTTTTTTTCTTTGGGGATTCTTTATGTGTTTTCATTTATTTTTATGGCATTTTTTAAAGGGACATAGCCAGTATACACTTTTCTGTAATACAGAGGAAAAACATAAATATGTAAAGTCAGGGAGAACAAAGTAAAATGTCCACATGAAAAGGGTCTGAAAGCTAGGTCTAACAGATGTCCTGAGACAATGACTGTGTTGTATTTGAGAATCTGTTATCCTCAAACAGCATGACTATCTAAGACACTACACTGAAGCAGTCAACATGAACACAGATACCGGTAAGGGACCAGAAAAGTACACCAGCATCCACAGAGGGCTCCTGAATGAATGGTGCTCATGGACCGCATGCCTGATACTTTCATCGTGAAAACTGTCCCTAAATTATGCCAGTGCCATTACTATACAAATTCCAAAGTCTATTTCTTTTGTAAAGCTGGGTTTATATACTACATGGAAATAAAATATAAATGCCTGTCCTCACTGGAATTACTTTTAGTAAAAGAGCAGTTAGAGGACTCGTGACCAGATTTCAGATGTGTATGGAAAGAGAATGATCATGGCTGCATGTGCTGCGTTTTCTTGGCTTGGCGTTTTTGTCTTGTGAATAATCCCATGTTCTCTACCAGCATTTCCTTTGAGCACTTTCTCTATCTGTTATCAATGATTAGGAACATAAAGGAAGTGTCGTGTGCTCCTAAGTAACATACAGTGTTAGCTTGGCTTTTAAATTATTTTGTATAACGATTTTTTAAAATTCTAAGACAATATTAACTGTCATTTAAATTTAACATTTAGAAGTTTGGATTAGGGATAATGTGCTCAAAACAGGTTTTAAAACTGACTTCAGAGGTTCCTTTTGCACAGCTTCATGCTATTCCATGAGTTAACATACCCATTTGACAGAGACAGAAAAGAAGAAGTAGTGTGTCTGAGGTCCGTGAGCAAAGAACCCAGATGTTGAATTCCCTCATTTTGAAGATCAGGGTTTCATCCACATATTACATTTATCCATGTCCCAGAATGAACAAATTTGAGCACTTGAACTTCATTATCACCACCCTCCTTTAAATTTAATGAACTGTTCTGTTCGGTTTATTTCTTCAAGTAACTTGGAAGCAAAGGCAAAGTTTCACTCAATCCCTGCCTCACTTACTCTATCAAATTGTGATGTTCAGTGTCATCATCATGTGGCATCTCTGTTACTATAGAGGTCTTGAGTGTGCTCCTGCATGGCATGCCCTTCCTTTTCGTCTTGGATACCTTTCAATGCCTGTGACAAACCACATGACCAGTTTAGGGAAGAAAGAGTTTATTGGGGGCTTGTATTTTCAGAGGGCGAGTCCATGAGTGGTGGGAGGAAGGCAGCAGGCAGTCAGGCATGGCACTGGAGCAGCAGCTGAGCACGTATAATCTGATCTGAAAGCAGGAGGCAGAAAAGAACTAACTGGAGATGTCATGGGCCTTTGAACCTCCAAAACCCAACCCCCAGTGATACATCTCCTCCAGCAAGGCCACACCTCCTAATCCTTCTCAGACAGTTCCACCAACTGTGGACCAAGTACTCAAACATAGGCACCATTAGGGGCCACACTCTTCCAAACCACCATGCAATTACTCAGATTTTTATTTATTTTTGTACCAGAGCAGTTTGTTTTTTAATGCAAGTTAGAAATGTCTTGATGATTTTTGTGCACTCTTGGCCCAATTTGAATGTGTTATACCTACCTCCACTGTGTTTTCTGACATGCTGCTATTGGAATACTAAACTTTAGTCATTTTTAATATGAGTTTTTGCCATTCTTCTGCCTGAATTGCCTACCATTTGAAGCACACTTTCAATGGGCATCCTCTAGTTCTTAATATACATTTTTGCATCATTTGACAATAATTAACTTGCCTCTTATATTGCAATGTTACTGTTTCTCATTTTAATATTTCTTTTGAACTTTGGAAACACTGGTGCTACTGAACATCTTTGCTTTGTCCCAGAACTTAATGAGAATTCAAGTGTTTGATTAATTTATATTTTAAGAGAAAGTTCTCCCTGTAATCGTGCTAAATTGAGTTTTATTTTTATACTGATGTAAACAGACAAAACACCCAGGAAAATTTCTGTGTCCCCAAAGGAAACAAAGTTACCTTTAAATGTGCACATTCAAATAACAATCGTCAAGCACAGCAGTTTGAGAGAACAATTCTCTTATTTTAATCCAAATTTACTGAAAATCATGACTTCAGAATTTTTTCTAAGCTATTTAACTCCTTAATATTTTGTGAACCTCTATATGGAAACTTAAAAATATGTACTTTTGAATAATTTAATTTTTACTTATATCAGTTTTTCATGTTATTGGTTTGAAAACTATGTCCAAATAAAATATTTCCATTAATCATTAAGGTCACATATCATGAACATGAGTTCTCAATCATACACACACACATGCACACACACACACACACACACACATACACAAAGCAGATGACAAGAAGCTATTCTCTTTGAAGTACATAAAAATGTGGCAAGATTCTCTTTCCTTTATGCTAAAAGCCACAGCTTTTCCTTTCATTTGGTTGTGAAGCAACTGCACAAACAAATGAATAGTTCCCTGCTGGAGGCCTCAGCACACTGAGGAGAGAAGGCAGCAATGTCCATTGGGCAACAGAGGGGCAGAGGGAGTGCCTTCAGGAAGCACAACCCAGGAACTTGTACTGTAATGCAGTATTTTTAGTCTGTTTTCCAGGGGGAGGAAGAACACGGCGGATTTGAGCTTGATGGGATGCATTCAAATGGGTACATTAGACAAACTCAGAGTTATGAAATAGTATGTACTTTCCTTCTGGATACACAAATTTCTTTGGACCACACAGGGTTAATGAAAGCAAATATTACCTACTATTGCATTTATTTGATGAAATCTGTGTTTCCTACCTTCTGTCATCATGAACAACATGGTCTGCCTAAGACTTTCATTATAAGGATGTCTGGGAACCTCTAGCTGGAAGGCAGAATGTTTGAATCTGAAGTCAGGAAGAAATTACCATAGTATGTTAGTTTACAGCAGGGTCATAAAAATTCAAGTAAGTTAATATTCCAGGTGACTAGATTCATTTTTCTCATTCATTCATATCACTTTCTTTCTGAAAAAGCATTATTGAAATCAAAATTCATGTTTCACAGGAATGAAAAATTGTATTTACAAGTAAATGTTACATAGAAAATGGCTATTAAATCATAATGTATCTGCATGATATCTTTTATTTTATAACAAAAACAATAACTATTTTGTTGTGGGAAGAACTCTGTCCTAAAGAAGAGAGAATCTGGGTTCAAATTTTACATTTGCAGAGATTCCTAACTTTATCCAATCTACCGTCCTTGTCTCTGACATGGAGACAGGGCTGTCTTGAAAACTGAATGAGAAAACATACAGGAAAATGTTCTGTACAATTTGGTTTTTTAATGCATTAATATATACACATATATAATGTACATGTCGTTCTTTATACAGATTAGCTCCACAGAGTGGGATTACAAGGATCTGTAAAGGCTTCTCATCTATACATTGCTATAATTAATTCATTATATATGTATATGAATGAATAATAACAAATATGAATATCCACATTCCTGGACATAGAGGGAAAGAAAGAATGCGTCACATAACTTATGAACAAACACAGGTCTGATCCTTGTCCTGTGGTATTTCCAATACAGAGGTGAAGGAAGATGCTAAACAAACAATCAAATCACCAGGCACAGAAAATTCAGTGACATAATATGAGGATTTCCAGCCAGAGAAGGCTAGAAGGGTTTGCTGAGCCCTTTGAAACTCCATTCAGTATTATTGAAATGCTGGCTCAAGAAGGAACCAACTTACATACAGGGTGAACAAGGACCTAGAGAGAGAAAAACTGGAAACCTTGTTTTGTTTTGATTTTCATGCAAAGCCCTGTGTCAGAATAAACAGCAATGCCAGTACATAGAAGGCAAAGAGAGCCTGAGGGTTTGAGACTGTGAAAGTGGGGACAGGAAGGAAACCTAGTCTCCTTGGCAATTATTCTAAAATCTCTATCTGGAGAGGATGGAAGTGTGAAGGAAGAGCTCAGGAAACAAATGCAGTTACTGAGAGAGATTCAAGGTATGCAAATTAGAGAGGACTGTGTGTTTACCTTTGCAGAGAGATGACAAGACAAAGATAAACACTGTCTCCACAGAGGGGAAGAGCAGACTGGGGTCAGGAGTCCTCAGAGGCAGTGCTCAAGAGGGTTATCCTGGGAGTGCCTGTTTTCTGTCACAGTTTGTATTCTCAACTGAACACATGGTTCCCATGGCCCCCCAAAAGGTATTAGTCTAGAGACACGAGAAAACAGCGGGGGGAAAAAGTCTACTGCAGCTACAACTGCCACCCACAGACTCTCAGTCTATGCATTTCGTTCCACGAGGGAGTCAGAGACACCCCTCACCTCCCACTCCACGCGTCTGAAAAATGCCCTGTTGAATTACTGAGTTTCTGGCTCCTGCCCAATGTATGTTTCCTTCAAGAATTGCCACTTTCTCTCTTAGATGCAAGACTACAGGGATTTCTTCTTAGACCTTCACTGGAATATTGTCTCTGTGAGTGGTCATTTAAAAAACAAAAGAAAAGAAAGAAGCCAATATTATACACCTTCTAAAAATAACTGCCTGTGTAACAACAATATTCCTGAGAGGTAGCCGCGGAGGGATCTCGCAGTGCCCTCGGTTGCCTGGTGACGGGAGAACTCAAGCACTGTCATGGTTCAGCCAAATGACTGCTTGCTCTGCCTCCTGGTTCTTTGACCAGGCGCACCCTGTGACCCTTTACAAAAGTGAGATTAGGCTGAATGGCTGGGAAGATGAAAAGGGAACGCGCCTCCTCTTATTCCAAAACCAGTCTCAGGCAATCTGGCCACATAAAAAGTGCCATGCTTACCTGTCAGAAAGCTGTCTTTATGTTAGGCCATGACTGGCTAGAACTAATTGGCCCCAGTCTCTAACCTAGAGAAGATGAAGAAAAGAATCAAGAAAAAGAAGGCAAAGTAAAATAGCCAAGGGGGAAGAAACCCAAAGAAATGCACATAAAAAAAAATCAGAGACAAGGCTCAGAGAAAAATGTTCATTTAGGGCGCAATATGTCTAGCCAGAAGAAAGGAACTATTTTAAATGAACAAATTAAATCATGTGAGTAGAGTCTCGAGTCCTAATTAATGTTTAAGTTTAAATTATACATATCAACCATGCACTGATTGTGACTAGTCTACTCATTTAAACTCAGGTATATGCTGTGTGGTCTTACTCTTGCAATGGAAATACAGCAGAAACTAACAGAAACCCCATCAGAAAGTGTAACACAGTAATTACACAGTAACACTCACTCATTTGAAATAAGATATCGATCACCAGATGATGCACATTCTTTATGCACTAATGCATTTCAATGTACTGGGGTGGCTGTGATAGATCTGGGGTAATTACATAAAAATTGACAGCACATTCATCACTGTTTGTGATTATTTCAAAGCATTGGCATTTCCGTGAATTATGGCATGTCGTCTTATGTATACACAAATGTTAAATCATCTGTGGCAACAATTGATCATTAGCAAGCATATGCTGAAGGGAGGTAGACACCTTGAAGACTTTCAATTAAAGGGAATGAATTTGCCGATGGGCTGTGCAATTAGTTTGATGGACATGCTGAAGTTTTCAAGGTGACTCGTGTTCATCTTGTCTATAACATGCCATTGAAATGAACTACATAAGCAGGCAAAGATTATGAAGTATTTTTCAGTACAGGAATAGTCAAGGTGTGGGGGGAATGCTAAGTGCCTGCTGTTTGGAAGAGACTCAGCTACAAGGGTTTTGTAATCTGAACTTTAGGATGCTTATAAACTACTCTGGCTGAAGCAGGGAAAGAATGATGGAGTAAAGGGTGTTATGATAAGAGTCTTAGCTGGTGTCATCCTTGTAGATTCCTAGGAGTTTCCCTGGCACCAGGTTTCTCCCTAATCCTATAATTGCCTGCTATCATGAACTCTAAACTGACATCTAGGGAGCCTGCATGGGACCAACCTGGGCCCTCTGCATTTGTGTGACAGTTGTGTAGTTTGGTCTGTTTGTGGGGCCCCTAGCAGTGGGACAAGGATCTGTCCCTGGTACATGAGCTGTCTTTTTGGGAAACCATTTCCTATAGTGGGATGCCTTGTTCAGCTTTGATTCGGGGTGGATGAGCTTGGTCTTCCTTCAACCTGATAGGCCAGACTTTGTTGATGCCTCATGGGGTAGGGGCAGAACAGAGGTGGGGGAGGAAACAGGGAGGAAAGGAGGGAGGGGAAACTGCGGTTGGTATGGAAAATGAATTAAAATTTTAAAATAAAAGGGGAGTTGTGCTTATCATCCACAGCTTCAGATATGGACAGTTCCTGTGTGGAGTTACCCATGGGGTGGAAACTTGATCTGACTACGTTGTTTAGAGTACGGCACTTGGGAAGTGCTTTAAGACTAGATAAGGCCATTAAGGCAGAACTTTGATGTTAGAATCTTAGTAACATTATAAGAAGAAACCAGAAGGGAAACACACACACACACACACACACACACACACACACACACACTATCACTCGGAGACACACACATTCACTCACTCACACATACTCACTTCCTACCATGCCTTGACACACCAGTCATATGGCACCCTGTGCCTGCTCAGTCAGAGCACTGCCAGCAAGGAGCCCAGAGCGTGCACCTCCAGAACTGTGAGGGAAAAATAAAGGCTGCTGTTTTAACCTCCCCAGTCTGTGTTTTGTTACTAATGGCATTAAAAAGGTCACTATAAAAACATTAAAAAATCACATGCAGACGTAAGCAAAGAAAGGCTGACAACAATGAAGAAAGGTCTTGACTACAGCAGAAGAATCAAATTCAGGAACAAATTTTCTATTTGAAATTAATTTTACTTAACAAATACTTAAAGAGTCTCCACTAAAGGCCGGGTACCCTGACCTTGGTCAAAAATCACAGTATTCTCTAAAATGTGCAGCGATTCCACTTGCTTTTCTGCTTATATCTCCACCACCACACAGTTTAGACCCTCAACTCCTAATTCGTTTATTTTAAAAGGCTTCTTTCTATCTTATCACTACAATCTTTCAGCTCTTATGTTTCCCAAGTACCAGTGCCAGTTTTCAATGCCTTTGAAAACTTGCTTTATTATCCACAGGAAAAGTCAGTTCAATTACACTGTAACTCTAATTGGTTGTAGACAGCAGTATAACAGTGTACACCCTATATCATCTGAAGACAGTCATACATAAGTATATGTCCCCCACCCCAGTGAAATTCTCCCAATGTGACTAATCTTAGACTTGCACCTGATGTCACTAAACCTGGGATAAAGAGCAAAGAAGCACAAGTGACTCTCAGGTCGGTATTGAACCACCTTCAACATACCAAACAGGAACACACAGTATAATAGAATGTAGCCCCGAGCTTAGTATGAGTACGGTTCCAAAGTTTACATAGTGGCTTAATCAAAACTCAAATTTCCTTCCTAAATGTATTGCGGTACATATCACATGTAGAACTTACTTTCAAACTGGTAATATTATCACAAATATACAAACTACACCCTAAAACTTTAGAAGTCACAGACCATTCTAAACCTCCTTATGCAGTCAGAACCTCCCATGGAATAAGGCCCCCTGAATATGGCAAGCAATCAACAAATGAATGTTAGATGAGAATGTGAATGCAAAGTATTGACACTGTTCTAGTCATTAAAACTTGACAACACCAGCTTATGATCTACCTTCCTGCCTTTCTGTAAAAATAAAGTGACAAGCACGCCTGTATGAATAGTATCAGGAATTCTCATGGCTACAATTGTTGAATGGATATCTTCTGCAACTCAAGCTTCATTCCACTCCAACAGTGTGCTAGTCTTCTTGGCCAGTATTGGACTTAAGGTACCTAACAGTGGCCCTCCAAAATTGTGGTAACTACTAAACAAAATTCCCTGTCTTGGTCATGTATTTTTCCTGTGGACTGAATGTCTGTTGCAACTCTGCAGCACTGGGGTTCAGTAGTTGAGTTCTCTCTTCTCTGTGACATCATCCAAAGACATAGCATCTCTCTATAAGAGTTAGCTATTTTGTTTTGTTTTGTTTTGGCAAAGCAGTAGGAAAGTGATTATTGCCTGCACAAAGATGCTTAAGGCTAATTTCTAGAAATAGTCAATATCATATCAACTCATTTGTCCTCAGTCAAACTAAGTAATGCAGGCCAAGTTTGACTCCATAAAAGAAGGCATCAGACTCCCAACAATGGTTTAGACATACAATACTCTCATGAGACAGAAGTACAGAGCTGCAGACATCTGCAAGAAAGATGCATTCTACTACACTGGCCAAGTTGATTGATTTTCCCAAAAATGGATTGAGGACTTCATCCACATTTATCTAATACAGAAGGCTCTGGAAGCATGCATGGTAAATGCTCAGCAAAGGGCTATCTTGTGTTTCCTCTAACAATGAAGTTTCAAACAAATTCTGAGTAAGACTTGTTATTATTTCTTAAATGCATCTCTTTGGTTTCCCCTTTAAACATTAGACTATCATTCTTATACATTTACTGTAATTGGAGGGATTGCAACACAAGTTTCACAGGGCAACTCTAAATGACAGACTATAAGAATGTTCTTTTGCATATAAAAATATGTGAGTATTTGTGAGAATTTACAAGTCTTCCCACCTTACCAACCAGAACCTGATGGCAAAGATACAGTTATGTTGTCACTGGAGGGATATGACAATAAGACCAGTTAAAAGGAGCTACAGTAGGAGCCAGAAAGAAAAGGGACTGCCAAGAATCTCCCCCACGGGACTTGATCAAGTCATGTTGGTTCAATGCCATTACATTTGCATATATGCCAATTTCTTCAAGCCACAGGGGACTGGACTCACATCAGTGCCAAGTTAGGCGGTGAGCCAACTAGATCCTGGAGCCACTGACTCACCAGAAGAGCCAAAATGCCATTGAACCACATGAGAAATGTGATGCCAACCCTCCAGAACTCTGCTTCCTATATATCTTTTAATAACTGGCAAATGTGATGTGCCCCTGTGCCTTTCAAAGTCAAGAGCTGCAATTAAATGTAAAAAGAGAACACCACTCACATATGTCACTAAGGCTGCCTTGCTGTTATTTATTTGAGCCACAAGCCAAGTCTTGTTCCACAGAGTGCCTGTCTCAGAACCAGCTGGGATTCTCCAACCAGGTAGATGACAGTGAGGGGCTGCTACAGGAATAAACTATTCCCTTTGTTCTACAAACGTATATTGTGCCAAAAGTCATTAGGATCAAAACTATTACACATAACTAATGCCCATGTTAAATGAAATGGTAGTTAAACCACAGTAAAATCTTTTGTTTTGAAATAAAGAGTTTAGAAACTCTCCTACTGAGGCTAGCTTCAACTTGAACAAATATTTTAGGAAATAAATCTGAAGTACTACCTGGATGATCGTATGTCTTAGTAAGCCTTGTGTCACATGATGGAGTATTTTTGAACACTCGGTTTCTCTCTCTACTGAAAGTTCCATACTGCTCAGATTATTCTGAAAAATATAAGCAAAGCCTTATGCATGCTCTATGGTTCCCACATAGTATAGGCCATTTTATTCCTTCATGTGCTTGCTGTCCGCGAATTCAGTTTCCTGTGTTTGTTAAGACCCAGAGCGGGAAGCCTGGTCTTGGCTCCTTGCAGAAGCACAACCTTCCATACCTGCCAAACCCTGATA